AGGCTGACAATTGGTTGAAAGTTAGCCTGTCGAAGTGCCACGTTATGCATATTCAGTTCCATAGGACACAGAAAACTTGCATCTTCTATTAATATCTACCATAAATCGTCAGCTTAGAACGAAATCTAGGACTAGTAACCACACAGAGCTTAGATTACATTGCAGGTTCAAACCAAACAAAACCAACTCCTCACTTTATACGAAGACAACTTAGTTCAGTCACTCCAGAATTGCATTTGACACTTCGGAAAAGTACTTTTAGCCTGATCTCAAAATTTACGACTATGTTAACCCCTCTGTCTTCAAAAAAAGCATAGAAAAGTACAGAAAAAGACAAGAATTGTGACAGGACCGAGAAACAAATCACGATAAGATAAATTTCAATGCAAGATTGTTCTCGCTGAGCTAGGGGAGAATTAGAGATGATCCGATAGCGGCTCATAATACACCAGACACCAGACACATCACTGTACTCCATGAGGGAATTCGCGAAACTATGTACCATAAAGAGTGAAAATTCTTATGTCCACGCGTTTTTTCACTAAGAGTAGACACTATTTAGAATAATCTCACTGCTGAAGTGACCACAGTCAACTCAAGAAACAACCTCAATAGGAGACCTAATAATTCCGTACTAACATATGGATCATCAAATAGTTTGTATAAGCTCTCGCGAGGATATTAGATATTTAGCAAACGACCTTGATGTGCTTTATGGACGCTTGGTCTTGACCTACTGCGTCGGATTGTGATTTTAGGTATTTTTGTAGAAGTTCCTATATACCTTTAAGTTATTGTCACTTTTATAGTTTATAAAATTGTCTTTGATTCAAAACTGACCTATAGGTTACATATATATGATATTCCAGTCAAATAGACACCAAAATATATATACGTCACAAAATAATTATTTTCTTAAGAAAATGAGATTGTGAAGAGACAGAAAAAAGGGTTGGGATAATTTGAATTAACGAGCGCATAGAAATAAGGGAATAAAACATTGGCAATATTCAAGGGGGTGGGTCATTACAACCAAAAGCGATTCTTTCAGCAAAAGGATTTCCACGCACTCGTACGAATAAAGTAAATAAAAATTATAGCGATGTAATCATTTCGTTTTTCACTCCGATTAATCTACGAGAAATCGTTTTGATCAGGTATGGGTATGATGTGCTGACTACCTTATAAATAGTGCGAGGACAAGCCATAGTAAGTTTACATTTATTTCTTGATTTTTTCGAAGGCTGTGAACGTTTGTACAGCACATACGGTGTTTTCTTAGTCACCCGTTTTACCCATATAAGTCTATACAGTATTGACTCCGAAGACCACTACCTGGAGACCCTGAATCCAAAGGTTCGGGTTTTTAACTGGTTGTATATGAATATTCCAGTCACGAATCTCATGTGGATTGTTTGGCATAGCATTCTTTCTGTCGTACTTTCAGGTAATAAATGTAAGAACCTCTTTGGTTGTGCTCCGTCCTCAACCCACTTGCCGGGTTTCATCACCTTATTAACATACATTCTCAGTGCCCCTCCTGGCTTTGAATTTCTGACAGCAGATCCTACAGATGGCAGATCTTGTGAATGACGTTTATCAGGCTAATTGCTATTTTGAATGCCGATTCCAAATAATTAAACTAGGGATGGATTTAAATTCTCTAGGAATCGTGTTTACGACTTCCGATCGTATCATTACTGTTCCCTTCCCACTAACTACCGGGACCTCTTCTTTAATTGTCCTTTTTGTCATGAAGTTTGGACTAATTCATTTATTTCACCTAGTTTGGCTGTTGAGAAAGTTTTGCTCTTAGCACATCGTTCAGTTGCGTTCACCCCATCAATAACATTTAGAGTGAGTGCACTTTTGATGGGTGGTGATCTATTTGTCCTGACAGCGCTAGACGACTACTCATAATAATATTCTGGACTGAGGTTTCTTCTTTATGTATGTTGACCATGCAAGTCTCAACCTTTCTATCCATGTTAAAAGCTTAACCGATAGCACTGGTGGTTACTCTCGTAGTCTTCTCATTGTCTAATGTCAGACTCAACTTCTTTACCTTATTGGGAAGTTCTAGGACTTCATTTATGAGAATCGCTTCAGGTAAGCAGCATTCTGTACTTAATCAGGTTGAAGTCTGTTTGCAGAAACGTTTATATGCAGCCGGTCACCATATACTAATTTCTTTTACTTAATTTTACCTTAAAAGCTAGTTTCTTCACACTTTTGTATTACGATTTACAGGGTGAAACCTCGGTCAGATTTATTGGTCACTGAGGTTATTCAGCTTTATTACACTCGTTTCACTCATTTTCTAAATAAACTGTTGCGAGTTATATATTATGTATTCTACAATGGTTATAGATGTGTTCTATTTTGAAGTATATCTAGTTGTTCATTGTATTAGTGTTTTGTGGTTAATATTTTGCTAGAGATAAGCATTCTCTTTTGTAGCTATTTTCGCTCATCAACTTTTTAATCCGTTTAGCTTTGGTGCATTTCTAGTCAGTTATGAAGTGTCATGGTCATGCGAAATTTTCCTGAAATGGTTTAGTAACCTGTTGTAAATTCTGAGTTAGTTTATTTGGTTGAAAACAAATAAAAATTTAATAGATACAAAGAAAGCCTACAATAAAAAGTTGCTTTAAAAGTGATGAGTCATACAAAAAATGATAGATTCTTAAAGCTCTAGATAAAATGATCTCAAGTCAGTCAGCAACAACGTACGTACGCACATCATTTCAAGTTGTCATACTACAATAGCAAGGAGATACGACTGTCGATTCAAGTCCAATAGTGGTAGAAGTAGTAAGAGTATAAGCAGTAATCGGAAAGATTAGAGTTTGAAGATGTTATTCAAGGAGTGTAGTTCAGTGAAATAAATTTGGAAAGAGAAGGGACGTAAAGAATACAGAAGATTAGAATCTGGGAGAACACAAAGAGTGGATGCACCTGCGTCATTCCAAACGATTTTGAGCCGTGTCATTCAAGGTCTCTAACCATCGGTTGCTATCATCTAGTGGTCCCCAACCAGGTAGTCTACACCTAACAACATGACTCAGTCCACTTGTCAGTGACTTCATGGACTTGTGCCATGTTTTGGTCTGGCCGCCCCTAGCTTTCTTCCAACCTACTCCTATACCATTGAACATCGCACGTCTAGGCAGTCGGTGGTTGGGTATACGTAACACGTGTCCCAGACATCTTAACTGATGACGTTTCACTACTTCATCAATTGGTTTGCCATCCTTACCTAGTACCCGTTTCCTAACAACTGCGTTACTTACTCGATGGTCCCAAGATATACGAGCAATGTTTCGAAGACACTTATGGTCGAATACTAGTAACCTACGAATATCCTCTACTCTTACCGGCCATGTTTCACAGCATAAAGTAGGATGGAACAAACTGCTGCGCAGTAAACCCATCCTTTCGTTGATAAACGGATATCTCACCTACGCCATAAATGACGCAAGTTGGCAAAAGCTAGTCGAGCCTTCTGTATCCAAAAGTGATCTAAAAATGCCGGATGATAGCTCGGATCAGAAATTCTAAACGTAATATCAGTTGAGATAGTACATATCTTACTTATTCAATGAGTGTGTTCATTAGACATTTGCAGACCAGTTGGCTTATAACCACGACTTGTGAATTTTTTATTTAAGCCACTATAATTCCTGAAGTCATTGACAAAGAAAAATAGCAACTTCAATTATTACGATTTTACATGAGTAAATCGGTATATGTTGAGTCCGAGTGATCACACGATGTGTTAAATCTAAAGGATATTTTGCTAAAATGTCAGGGTAGGGGATGTTTATTTAGTTGATTCCCTTAGTTTCATACCAGCTACGTTTGAACCATCAGCTGTTTCGGTAATCCAGAGACTGATCTATTTTCTCTCAAGGTGGTATTGCGGTGTTTGCAAGTTGATCGTCATGCTAGTATTGGACATCGTAACCTTGCTATTCAAGTGGTGAATTATAGTATTTCGTATGAGGTGAAACACACAACTTAAATGTAACACATTGCAAATCCACTCTAACAACTATGAGAAAATAAAAAATTACCAAAGGTTTAACAGTATTTTTACTTCACCTATCATTGTTCTTTGCTAAAATACAAAAAGTTACTAACTGTCGATGACATTTACGACTACGCGTTCTGCAACTATGTATCAGACGCAGACCTACCGATCAGAACTAGCAGCTTTTTTGACACAAACTTTATGTTTACACTTGACAGTTGCAATGTATTGCATATGCTTGTGTCAGTGTCTAACTTGATATCACTAATATGTGGCACTTTTTATTTACTCTCATAACTTCCATCTTCACTGGTGGATTTTGTAAAAATTGTTATAGGGACGATTTTATTACTTTCGACTTCCACAAGACTAATTTCTCCCGAGATACTGTATTTGGCTCTGAATAATTAGACAAAATAAATATCAGCACTAATAGTGCAGTGATAATTTTTAAAACTCACTGAATGGAATAAATATTATTCATCATATGTTTTACACATAATGAGAGTCGAATCTTGTCTTACAATTGTTTCGTGCTTATACTTGTTTGAACAAAAGTAGCATAGTCATTCAAGCTAACTAGCTACGTTGTTTCTGATTCACTAGGATAATTGAGGCTTAATCGACATGTCAAATAATACTAATTACATTTCAGGAAATACATATCCTCCATTACATTTGTTGATGGGACTATATTAGAGAGGTCGCAAATTTATAACTATTTGATCATTGTTACTCAAACTGTTCCTCTCATCTAGGTAATCGATTGACTGGTGATCTCAGGTTAGTTTTCGAATTTTATATCAATATGGTATTTATAGTTACTGTTCCTAGAATTTTAAAAGTGTATACTGATTTCTGAATTTCCCTATTCATTTATTTAGATCGTTGAGATGACAACCCATTTGATGTGAACTGAGTGAGTGTAATGCAATAAAACATCGACAAATTTTCTAATCAGTTTCACATGATTCAACCACATCAAACTGAACATCATGATAACCAGAAACTTTCTTACAAATCGTCTCAATCAAATGATTATCAAGTTTCAAAGTCAATAGAAAGTAGTAATAATGAGCAGGTGACGTATGTAAGTATTGATCAAACGAGCAAAAAGTCGTCTGGAAGATCATGGGCAAGAAGTAAACGCATTTCAGTAAGTGAGAGTCCATCTCTATTGAATGATTAGTCCAAGTTTTATTTGTGAGGAGTATCTGAAATTCTTGAACATTAAAGATAGTGTTTAAATGCCTTTACATAGGTGGTGATAGGCAAGGTTTAAATTCGGTTGAGAATTTCAATTTTTCAGAATAATTAGTTATTTTCTAAATAAAAATTATCGATTGTTTTCGTTGATTTGATAAAACAAGTCAATTGATCCAACATTAAATCTACATGTGTAACATATGTCGAGATACAACAATAATAACAGAATTTTTAATGAAAACCACAACTGGTAATCGTTGAATAAGTGGCAGTTATTGGAAGCGGGTGACATGGCTAAAAATCATTCACAATGGCAAAGATACATTCTCTCCTTGCGCACTTCTGAGGAGTCCCACAAAAGGACGAAACGGCCGTCCAGTGCTTCCAGGTTTCCAACGGTGGTCTAACATCAATCGGTTCATGATCTCAATCAAAAGCTTAATAATCTCCACAACCCCTATACTGATGATTTCTTTTATTGTTTAACATTGGATCGCCATGATGACAGTTTAATTTGAAGATGGGTTACATTACAGACCGACTATTCAAAGCCTTAAATAATCAACAGAATTTGTTAGTTCGTTTCATAAACAACCTTTCTATAACTTTATTTGAAACATTCTTAGAATTTTTAACATAATTAACTTAAGTAAATGTGGTATATTACATTACATTAAGCGTAATTTAAAACTGTAATGGGAGTAACAATATTTTTTCTCTCCATGATTTCATTTATCCGTTATATTTTTCACGGAAGTTTAGTAACTAAGTTATATTCTAGAATAGTATGATTAATTATATAGTGCTGTATTTGGGTTTAATTTTTGAATGGTTAGTTTTAGATAATATGTTTTTCAACAGGAAGTATAATTCATCCATATTCATATTACATTATAAGTATTCATATTTGTCATGTGTGAACGTTTTTCTATAGCTTTGTCCTCAAAACCCTTTCTTTTTACCATTTTTTAAAATGCTAATCAGTGATTTTTGTGCTAAAATGACTATAGTAATCAGCGTCATGCTACAGAGATAAAAATTGGTATGTAATGTTTTGTTTTTTGAAGGAAAGTAACATTATACACAGGTTAGATGGTAGCTTTTCTGATGAATTCACTCAAACTGAGGAAACACTTAAAATCAGAGAATATTAGATAATGTTTTCGTCCTAGTTCGGGACTTCTCAACAGTACATACTCACGAGCCAATGTTGAATGGAGCTCTGAGACTTTAAAGTCACGCTGTGAACCAGAAATCAGTGGTCCATAATTCGAATTTGTCATTTCGTGATTAAGTACGATTCTCATTCAGTGTGATTAGTAAGTTGTATTCTTACTCTTTACTTGCTCGACAGTACAGTAATGTCATCACTTTTGTTGTACAGCTCTGAAACTCGGTATTTTGAATATGTACTATATTAAAAATCTGTCTATGCTGTGTGACCCATGAGTTCAGTATATCCACTCGGCTTCTTTTTCGCAGTCATGTTAACGTAAAAACTGTTTGATAACTAGTACAGTTATGTACACTGATACTTAATCGCACTTATTGTATAAGACATATCACTGGAACCTGGTAGGTGCAGCTATGTTCATATTTTTGACCAATCACTTGTAACTCGAGTTCTTATAACACTAAGCTATAGTCTCAGTTTTATGCACGCAACTTAATCGCATGTTGAGTAGTTTGCGAATTACGTTCTGTTCTGGGGAGTCGAGTAACATTATTTCACTCCTGAAATTAGGCATACATTTACTGTCTCCCCTTACTACTTAGTACTAGTCATAATAGAGGAGAGCACATGTAGTGTTAATATTGTGTTTCAAAAGTTTATGCATTCGATAAAGTGAATCGTCAATTCTTTTTTCATTCATTGTTATAATATTTTATTATGATTTATTTGACAATTGTTCTAGTAACAAATTTAAGTGAATGATGAAATTATTTTCAATTTAGTAATTAAATAGCTTTTATCAGCCAACTTATTGAGGCGTCGTGAGTCATCAGTTTTGTTTAATCGTTGGTTTACATGTTTGTTTCTTTCTCTAATTTCCTAATTTTAAGAAGTTAGTATATCTATATCTAACCGTCTTACACGAATATATACTTGGTAACTAAGTTTCATATTTGAAGGTAGTAATCCGTTGATGTCTGCGGGGAAATTTCTAAGGAAAAAATATTGGTCAGTCTTTTCATATGATTCTGGTTAGATGTCGCAAAATAATCGTACTCTACATTTGAAGATCTTAAGTGATACGACCGACCGTAGCTGCTACCTTGACGCGGTGGTCGGGCTTGACTGTTGTGATGACCCAACCGAGCTATATTGGCTGGAACATATGTTCCTGTAGGTTCTACCATGCCAGGCAGGTCGATTGGAGAACGGTAAGACTAAAAGCCGCAACTCAAGATCTGAGGGCGAAGTCGTACTGCTGACTGTGGAGGGGTGTGACAGCAGTAAGGTGTTTCCCTCGGACAACCAGCATCTGCAGCGATGCTGCCTTCTCACAAGAAAGGAAGGGGTAGAAAAAGTCGACCCTAGAAATGTCACACCTCACCTTACCTCACGGATTTCCGTCTCCGGCGGTAAGGCCCTTTGAAGAACGGAGCTAACGCGTCAAAAACCTCCCACAAAAAGTCTGTACGCGACCGGCCTCAAGCAGTTGTCCCTTGGGGTCCGCGTTCACGCTCCCAGGTCGTTAAGGCCAACATTAGTCCAACTCCCTTTTCAGATTCTTCAAGAAATACCCTTCCATGGTGTGGGCATCCGTGAAGTGACACCAGCCCTCATACCCGTAATAGCACATGAGACCAAGTTGGTCACATTCAAATCCTTCCTACACCTCCTAATACCTCTCTTATCTCCCCGACTAACCCTTCTCACGTCCCTTTATCACCTCGCACCGCTAGGGCAAACGATTCGAGTACGCGGAACGTTATTCCTGGTCTCCTGAAACCACGCTCTAAACTTCATGTTGGAGCTTATAACGTCCGGACACTGTGCCAAATAGGACAACAGGCTTCCTTAGCTAGGACTTTAGAATCTCGCGCCGTCGATGTGTGCTGCGTTTCCGAAACGCGCATACAGGGTCCGAGTAGCGTAATTCATTTGACATCACCATGTCAAAATAAAGAACCAACTCGATTCACACTTCGTGTATCTGGAAGCCCTGATTCTGCTTCTCGTGGACTGGACGGCGTAGGTATAGCATTGAGTCCTAGGGCAGAACTAGCTCTTTTAGACTGGATCCCAGTAGACAGTCGTTTGTGCGCTGTCCGACTAAACGGAGCAGTAAGGACTCGGAAAGATAGGGACACTCGTCGTTGCCTCTTCGTCGTCTCTGCCTATTCTCCCACTGACTGCAGCTCAGATGTTTGTTTGTGTGTCAGTTACACGCTTTTTTTTCAATAGCTCATAATTGCGTAATAATTTGTTTACCCATCTTGTTTTACGTTTTCTATTCCTGTTTGTATATATGCCGGTTGCAGTGCATAATAAACAATGAAGGAGGATGGAAGACAGAGGAAAGCATGACATACATACGACATACAAAAATAGATTACATTGACGTCGTTTTAATCCAATTTGTTGTGTTTCTCTGATTTTATTTCTTTTTATTTTCTACTGTCTCCGCCTATTAAGTAGAACTTATCTAGACTGTGTTCGGTTTTCCATTTCATCAAGTTTTGTTGTTCCTATTCTCGTGTCATTAAATTTTTGTGAATAGGTAAAAAACCCAGACTGTCTAAAAGTACACTTGTGTTGTTCACTTATCGGAAGTCACTAATTGATTTACAGCGTTGATTATTATTATTATTATTATTATTATTATTATTATTATTATTATTATTATTATTATTATTATTATTATTATTTGATTGTCACTCACACCTAGCTATTGATCGTTCGGCTGTGATCAACAGCTGGTTATAATTTGCATGGTTCGCCGATAATGCTTCTAACCTCATTTTAGCCCCAAGGCGATATTGTCTCTAAGATCACCCAATCTATTTCAGTTAAGCAGATGATGTGTACATAGCACTCGTATGACGCAGGGTTATATAAACTTTTTAGATGGTAATACCGGGAATGTTCGAGATGTATTTATCACATTCTAGATTGTTTTGTATCTAGTTTTTATTCGATATTTGGTTTGATGCCAGATAGGTAAGTGGTTCAGAGCGTTTACCACTTCATGTACATTATGAACTTTTTCACCCTTGATTGATATATCATTGACGTAGTCTTGGCGCTGAAACATAAGGATCATTTAACTTTTATCGATCAACACTGCTATTTGGTCAGGTGAATCTGTCATATTACGCATTCAAGAACCAGTGTGCTGCACTGTTTGTGAAACGTGGCTACAGGTATTCGGTTCGAAAATATTGATCGCACTTTCCCGAAACATTATTTGGAGGGAGTGCAGCGATGGTTGATAAATGAGATAAAACTCTTTCTGATGTGACAGACCTTCATCTGTCGAGTTATCTGTATATGTATTACAGATATTCCCCCATCATCCATTTAAACGTTTTACGATAGCTAGCTTTGAAGTTGTTTGGAGAAAATTAAGTTTTATGCACTAAGTCATACTATTAGTATATAAAGTGTGTGAACTTTGCTGTAAACTATTTTAAAGGCAATATGTTTTCTGGTTGGAGTCTGTTAGACAAATGAAACCGATTGTCAAAGACTTTGATATCAATAAAGTCGATCATAGAGAGAAAATGGTTAACCTAACATAGTTCTCAGGTGATTGAACAGTTTTATTAATTTGCTGGAGTTTGAAATTTCTGAAGATATGATTGGAGCATTAAACTATGTAATCGAGGTATTGAAGGTTTGATTTTATCATCAGTTAGTCACAGAATTGAATTAATCAATCCAAAAAAATAGTAGAACCACTTTCATTTATAGCTAAGGTATATTGGCAGTAGTAGCGTGCCACAGATAGGGTTATTCTCTCTCATTTATCACCCTTGATGAATGAGTTTCTGGTGCGTAAATGACTCACATAAGACCACACCTAAACTTTCAGTATTCTATTAATAAGTTGATACTATATAGTTGTTTAATTGACCTTGAATCTATACTAGGCCAGTGGAGCAAATGAGTAGACTCCTGTTCATTAAAGTATTTATTATGCTATTTTTAAAAGGGATTGTTGATGGTATTGTTTTGCTTTTTGTTTTGGGTGGGCAAACAATGATGACATAGTGGTTAGTCTCATAACCGAAGCGTGTTATTACTACTAATAGTAGTAATGATTTTTAATTGTTCACGTTACCTTGTTAATATTTTTGGCTGAATTTTGATCCGTCTTAATTGGCATAAGTGTTTCGTGTGCCGATTGCTTCAATACATCATTTATGCCCCAAATAGAACGACACGGTCGTGCTTGTTTCCACTGCTAGCCACATTCTAACTATTCTGTAAAAGTACATACAACTCAGTAAATGAAATAATACTAGCTCCTAAGTCATTTGTTGGAATGTTATCGCCATAACTTAGAAAGCTCTAGCTCTTTCATATGCGCATAAAACAATATGTTAATCAAGTCTAGTCTTAGAAAATTATAGTGACTGATAAGCTTAAGACCGTACTTTTAAAATAAATTCTTTAAATCTCATCTCTGATTAATCATTCTGTTCTTTAGTGTAATTCATATACAAGAAAACCATGTCTTACCGAGCTTTTTTATTTATGTGTGATTATGGGTGTTTATCTGCTTATAATTTCTACTAAGCAGGAAGGTTGCTATTCTAAACGTGATTTTGTGTTTTATTTTATCAGTTTTGTTTATTGTGAATAGATTCTCGAATCTTGTTTTTTCCAGGCTACGATTTGTGAATAAGAAATTCTAGTCTCTGAATTATTTCTACCAATAATTTTTTTGTATTGATTATTAGCTTATTCATCATTTACATGTTTGTGTATACGACTCTGAGCTCCATATTATATTTTAAGGGTTAGTATTATTGCAAAACTACCCAGACTGAATTTGTTGGTGTAAGACATACATATGGAACCAAGTGGTTGAAAATAGAGGGCTTTAGTAATTAGTTCATTGACTTATACTCATTCGTGCGTTGACTTCACGTGTTGTTCATTATTATTTGTCTTCATATTTTTACAAGAATTTTCATACTGTCAGACAGATTAAGAAATTAAATATCTTATCCAACCTCTGGGTTCTCACTCAATAAGGTATACTGTGAAATTCTGTTCAGTATATAAGTTCCATCTAATTTATGAGTTTATGCTTCTATAAGCAAAACTTAATATATGTTCAGTCTTTCACTTGCTTGTTTGATAATTTTTCAGTTGTTACCAATTTTAAACAAAAACTATCTTTAGATGCTCAGATGTTTCAGTGAAGTTTTTACTTTGTTTTATGTTCAAATTTGATGTCGTTGATGAACCACTGAAAACTTTGGAGCACTAGACAATTAATCCATTCTAGTCTGGTATTTCTCATCAGTACACATCTAAGACCTGATATTGGATTTTCAAGTCTTGTTGCAAACACAATCCATTTAGACCACTGCGTTGAAATCTAATGATCCACATTTTTTGTAACCCCAATCAATTTATGATAGAACACAATGATTGTCCAATGTAGTTAATTAGTTACAGCTACTTATTAAATTAAAAAGTGCGACAATTTGGTTCCAGTTCTAATGAGTTCAAAGAGTATTTATAATCTTATTGAAGGTTATATTATTATTATTATTATTATTATTATTATTATTATTATTATTATTATTATTGTTATTATTATTACTTTTTATTATTAATAAATACCCGGATAAAGACGTAACGCTAATTCTACGTGAATAATTTCCCAACTATTGCCTTATTGTAACTTTTATCCATTGTCTCTTGATTTCCATCACAGCTTGGATGTTTTGAATGGCATTCACGCGGACCATTTCGTCAAACTGACATAGGATCGTCTAATCATTTAAATTCTATCAATCCTACCGGTTCACATCATTGCACTGTACACAATGAAGAAGACTTCACATACACATATCAAGAACCATCGAAAGGAAGGCTTAAATCTGGTGCTGATAGTCTGTTACAACGTCTACGTAAACGTTCTTTTTCGAGGGATAAGCATAAACGTGATAATAAAACACAATATTGTCGATCTTCTTCAGCTCCTCGATCTGTATACTCATACCAAAGCTCTGCAGAATTTGAAATCAACCATATTGATAAGTATTCATTAACACAGATTAATAAATATAATAATTTGTTCGTTCCAAATTTGATTCCACAAATTTCTTTATCAAGAAGTGTTCCTGAATTACAAGACCGTAGTTATGTTGTAAGTTGTTAACACATAACTTTCATTCTGTTCTATCACTAAGCGAATTTAAATTCATACGTTATTTAAATAAGTTCTCATTGAATGTTAAGTACCTCTTTTGCATAATTATATTACTGTTAAAATGAAAAATTGTCAAATAAAAAAGTTTCAAGTATTTTTCTGTTTCAAAACCTTAGTCATTAAATCACCATACACCTATATTGTTATTCGATAAGGTTGATCTAGTTGGGTAAGTGTCTAGTGAGTAACAGATTTTAGTACTACTGCTTGGTGTGTCGTACAGGACCGTAGTGATACACTGTTTTATAGAGTTTAATATGAACTTCAAAACATAGTGTTTTGGAATAACGTATATTTGTGTGTGGTCGTAATGCGGTAATTGCACAGTTCACAGACTTTAGACTATAGTCCGTGAAGATACTGTTTCAATTTTCGGTTGTTTTCTTTATAAACAGTAACTGGACCTTGAGACTTTATCTAAATCATATTCTCGTTATTATAATATGATTTCACCTCTTTTATTTTTCCGCTTCATTATCATGTTTGGTATGACGCCTTTCTAAATGCTCTATTCCACCAAGTAAACTCCTTATTAAGATAAATAAAATGTTATAATTTCATAACATAATTAATATAGTTCATTGTGCTTATAAACTTCGCGTCACAATGGCAATAATCCTTGTTTTCATCTACATGTTATTGTTATTTATTAAATCGGAAGTGTATAATTCACGTTTTAGGATTTTGAGGACTACCGTTATTCAATGTTTTGAGTTTTGATAGTTTAACGTAAATGTGATCACTAAAAATCTAAGTGACTATGGGGAAATCATTAAATAATACATTTCAATCAATATGTGTCATCTGTATTATATAGGATTAACAGTCTCTTAAGTAAGTAAGCAAAAACAAGCTTATTCAGTTTATGTATCTTACATATATAAAAATTGTATGTGCTTTCATGATTAGTAGTCGCCATTGTTGATTTTCTTAACTTATATCTTACATTTAATGCTGAACGTGCTTCAACGTATCTAAATGTTTTTGAATTATGAATAGTGTTTTTTCCTTTTACTAAAGAATAAATTACATAGTCCTGTACAAATGACTTTTTTAGTCAGAAAATATATATATATATATATATTCATTCATGTATCAGTATTTCAAACTTGACATAATCCCTCAAAAACATGAAAAAAATTACAATTCGATTGGTATAGGGATATTTTTTTACTAGATTTAGTGAGTTGCAGTATAATGTAACTCAGTGACCATGCACAAGATTATGCACTGGACTTTGCGTTATACTTTTCGGGTGAGAGCTAGGATGAATACCAATTGAGCAATGCTACAGGAGTTTAAACATTCGACTTCCAATCATTCCAGTACATAGTCAAACGTGACCTCCTCTAATTTGGTTTAGGTAATCGGCTAACATTATCAGAAGTGTAACGTAAAATCAAGAACGTAAACCTGTACTTGGTCAGTGAGTTACACATTCTAAGAAATTTCGTATCACTAACGGACTGCCTAAAGCATTACAGATTAAAGCTTTTACGGACTGGCAAATTAATCATTCGAATTCGATTGGTTTAACCAATAACCTAACACACCACACTTGTTTAAGCAGAATTGATATCATTGCTTGTCTACGTTGAGTTTAACAAGTAGAATGAAATGGAAATCTTTGGATTATTAAGAAAGGAGAAATTCACATGTCGAGTGATTGAGGTGACGAAAAACTAGTTTATTAGTTAGTGCATTCAACTTCCAGTTACTGTTTTTCAAGTGATTGTTTACCAACCTTAATTTTTACACTTGTATTTTATTACTGAGTTCCGTTGAGGCTAAGGAAATTAGTGTCACTACCCATTATTATTAATATTATGATTCTATTATAATTTTGAATACTTGCCATTTTCCTTTCTCTGTAAAATTAAAAAGCCATCAGGTTATTTGGACAATGGTATGTCATATCAATGTAATGTAATTCCATCCGAATTGTATCCCGAATCATCATCCTATTTAACATCATGTTCTTCAATGAAATCATCTTTTCCTATTAACAATGATAAGATAAATGCTATTGCTACTACTACTGGTAATATTAACAATAATCTAATGGAATTATCGAACATTGACAATTCATCATATACTCTTCCAATAAAAGATAAAACTCCAATTAATCATGAATTATATCTTCAATCAAATTATCAAGCATCTGTCAATGCTAATATATTACATGGTAATTTTGCTAATTCGTGTACAACATCGTCAACACCTGCCATTATGACAGATTCATCTTGTTTGGAGTCTAACTCTGAATGTGTGGATATTCCAAATGCAATGAAATATTCCGACTCATTTGTGTTATTGGACAAGAGACAGCAGTATCAACCTTTGTATAATCCTTTCACCTCTTCTATACATTCAGAAGTTTGTTCCAAATGCTGTTTTACATATTATAATAATAATGATAGTAATAATAATAATCAGAGTACTGTGACTTCCAATAGTCCAAGTCTACTCGTCAATTCCTTTAGTTCTTGTGAAATGAAGCATTCACCAGGACGCAAATCTAATAACTGTAAGTTCTATAATTACCTTTTTATTAAAAAAAGTGTTTTTTTTTCATTAAAAAATTATTGGTCATATCGTCAAAATAAAAATTGGTTAAGTTTTTGTTATTTCATCTTCAATTAAGATTCCTTATGCTGATTAGATATATTTTTATTAGACCTGAGTTTTTTAATCGCATTCGATTTATTTAACCCGACTTGGGGTCTACGAGTATATCTTTTCCATGAAAACAGTTTTTGCAGACTTGACCAAGTTGGTAATGAGATAGAATATAGTTGAAAATCTTAACTGTTAAATGTGGATCACAAAGCCTGAAGTTGTTGAGTTCGATCTTGTGTAAGGTGAAGAATACTTATTAATAGACTGAAGATATTTATCTTTAAATCAACACTATAAACTATTGTATATATAGAGATTTTCTTCATATGTAGACTGAGGGTATTCATGATAATATGCATACTAATACATAACATAGTTGTATGAACAACTTTGCGAGGAATTTGAGATTTACGTTTATGAAAGTTTTCCTTAAAAATTACACTCAGTGGACGAAGTTTACTGATCTATGAAGAACAAAACGAAGGTGAAAAAAGTTGTTTGGCTGAAATTTAATTTAGAGTAATTAAGTTAGCATTATCAGTTAATTAAGAAGTCTTGGATTTGTTGTGTTGTGCATCAATGTGGTATCCAGTGCTACCTAAATATAGATAACATTCAGTCTGTATTCTATTATAGGAGACACATTAGCTAATATTGTCAGTCACCGGAAACGTTATATCTTCTGTTAAATTTTATATTATTTTATCCGTATTTTTATGTGAAATGTAACTACGTTGATATATTAGATAACTGTTTAATTTCTTCCAAATATATTAAATTTGGACTTAAGCTCAATTCATATAAGATAGGGAGCCATCTAGTTGCAGAGAAATACTATTAAATCAATATTAGCCAATGTTTTTATTCCAGATGGACAGTTGAATAGTTTGCTTTCAAAACAATAAAAGGGAAGCTGACGGTGCATAGTAAATGGTTTCCTCAAACCACATAAGCAACTCTCAAACTGTTTGAAACCTGTTATATTTTAACAATTACTTACAATTTACTTGAGCTTAGTAATATTTTAATTCAATAAAACCGGTGATTTGAATAGTGATCTACTGACTGAAATTGTATGCCAGATCTCAGTGTTAGTTGAATCAATCAGGAAGGTACATGGCTTTCACATGAATGTGCTGTATAAAACTAACTTCATTTCTTCATGTTAGCTGCTCACTTAAGTTTCCTCATGCAATTGGTACCCTTTATGAATTTAAATAGAGCAAGAACAAACATTGATGCAGAATAGTATGAATTCATAATATTTCGAGGTTTCTCGTCAGCTGCTTACAACCAAAAATGTGATAGAATTTTTACATTGAGATAGTGTGAAACAATTGATATAAATGAGTGTAAATAACTGGATTAGAATAATAACTATATATATATATATATATGCTACAACAGGTCAGAGGTTAAAAAATGGGAATTAATTTAGGGTGGGTGGTGTAATAGTTTAGTGAAGTTCATAAATTGTGTGATAATTTTAGCGATTAATGGAATTGAATAATCATAAGATAAGATAGGTTACGCAATAATAATTAAATAGAATTTGAAAAGTTAAGATAATTTAAGAGGATCAGGTGGTGGAAATATGTGAATACAATTTTTCAATGGTTAAGATCATGAGTCAGTTGGAGCTAGACCACCATGGAAAACCTGAAAGCACTGGACGGCCGTTTCGTCCTATTGTGGGACTCCTCAGCAGTGCGCATCCACGACCTCGCCTCCTGCTAGATTCGAACCCAGGACCTACTGGTTTCGCACCCGAGCACTTAAACACTAGACCACTGAGCCGGCATCCAACGGTGTTAATGTCTAACCTCAACTAATCCACGAAATTGAGCGACACATTCACCATTGTCTTCAGTGAGTTACTATCTCACAACAGACCTGGTTGAACTCCACTGGTCACTACTTCTCACTAGGACTCCAGGATATACCTCGTGAAGCCAGTCACTAGTGAGCATATGTTGATTAATATCAGATGAGTTTTTGTGGAGATTGTAGTAATTTCTGGTAATTTTTGGTTTAAGAATTAGGTAATGGGGGAGGAGTATAAATATTTTAAAATAAATCAATGAGTAAAATAACCCAAATAACCAACACACACACAAAAAAAGGTCACCAGGGTAATGATAAGTTTATTAAAGTATCTTTTTGGATGCATAAGTCCGGTTTAAGTTTTTTGATCGCAATGGCTTCAACAAAACGGAGAGTGGTCGTACTTCTTTGTCTATTGATAATTTTAAAAGCATGCATCAATGTTTGTTCTTGCCCTATTTAAGTTTCTTCATCTGAATATAAACACAAATGACTGCATAGTAGTGAGTAAGCAGTTAAAGTACTCGGATTCGAGCATTCGGTTTCAGAATAATATCTTATTTTTTCTACTTCTGTTTGGATAAGTGGGTTTTAGTTTTGGGTATCATGAAAGATATAGCTCAAATCCGATTACGGGAACATGTACTTGGTGACTGATGTGCATGAAAAATATTGAAAATTGCGGAGTTTATTAAATAAAACGAGTGTTTGATTGATTAGAAATTAGAAAACATTGTTCGGAAATGCAATTTTCTTATACCTAGTTAATACGATGATTGTGATTTACAACAAAGAATAACACTTTTATCGGTTAGAATAATTTTGCTTCAATTTTAATTCTATTTGATAATAAAACAAAATATGCTTTTGTATAAAATGTAGGAAATTTTCGAAGTCGAGAATGTATGATTGAATCTGTTTATTTATCCAGTTTAATTTTTACATACACTTATTGTAAAGAAACATATTCATTTTACAGTTAGCTTATTCACCCAGTTGTATGCCCAAAACTACTAATATGTTTGAAATTAGTTTCAATCATGTCTATTTCACCTCACTATTACTAACAGTTACTTAACCACTGTGTTTATAGAATAAAGGTGGATTTTTTTCTTTTTGTGCATGTAAAATAGTCCAAAATCATTTCCTCTCAAGAATTTTGACTCATGTTTCCCTATTTCAGTCTACCTATTTCCTGATTCATTCGCACCTGTTAATGTGTCCAGAAAAAGTAAACTATAGGCTTTTTGTCTACTGTATAGTTTTGTTTCGTAATGATTTATTCCATTAACGTACCATAGTTACAATGATATATTGTAAAAATCAACACAATCTAAATGTTTTAGTCTTATTCACACTGGCACTGATGATGATAACACTAGAAATTAATAATTTTATATGGTTTATTTTTTATTAATTTGTTTATTGCGTCCCCCATATTCCTATCTTTTAATCTGATCACCTAAATTTATAAAATCCTCTTATTATATCGGCTTAAATCAAAGGTGTGATTTAGTAGCCATTCATATATATCTATATAGAAGTGCTCTGGTTTATTAATACTGATATTGTTTGTATATTGTATTGTATTGTATGTATTGTATTGTATTGTTTGTATGAATAAACTAGCCACAAAAAGTTCATTTAAATTAATGGCTTCCGAAACAACCACTCTATAAACACAGATATCAGTTGTAAATTTACAACCGAGTAGCATTAGTTAGTCACCATTTCATATGGCTTTTATTCATACATTTTGACGTGATACATGTTGATAAAAGGTTTATATGTTTAAAATGTATCATTTATGTATGTATGATCACTGATGACAGGACTTAGTATTCTGATTATCTGTTAGCTGCCATGATTCTCTGGAGGATCACTAAGTAATCCGAGCATAAGATTTATATGTTTAATTAATCTTTCTTGGTTAGTTCAAGTTTTAGAAACAGACGACCAGATATATTCCATTTTGTGAAAAGGAACTTAGTGTGTATTAAGTTTTTTTGACAGTTATTATCTGACTAGCTAACTCTCATTAGATCTAGCAAGGTAACCTGTGTATTGTTGTAAGTACATAGTGTTGAGAATTTGAAAACTGGAACTAAACCGCTGTTTGATGTCTTCTTGTTCTCACTGGTTCTTCAGCTGACATCAGTGCATGATGAAAATCATTTTTCTTCAGTTGTAAACTACTGGACTAATCATAGAATAAAAAAAACGTCAGAAAATCTATTTTTTTCTACTCATTGGGACATTACAAATATATTATTTATTTATAACAATCTACCCGATGCTCGATTTATTCAAAATTACTGGACAAATCGCATGTTTTTAGAATTAACAGTATAACAACAATTCCATTGTAAATCCAACTCGGTAACTGAATTTCCTGTCAACAATAACTTAGTATATTGACTAATTCATCGTTTTAGAGCCATTCACCTTAATCCTAAGCTAGACAGTTACTGAGTGGGCTTTTTAATTTGCAAAGTCTTAAATAGTTAAGGTGTGTACTGAAAATTCATTTCTCACTACCATTCAGCTTTGCTGGTGTTTTATTGCTCACTCGAATTAAGCATCAGCTCAATTTGATTGTTTAAACTCAAACGTTCTCATCTTTACTAAGAAACCCTATTAGTCTCAGACACTTAGGTGTACGCGATGTTTCAAGATCTCATCACTCACGCCACCACCAGCACTTATGCAGCTACCTAGATACACGAACTTCTCGACTACTTCTATCTGCTCACCATCCAGGATTAGAATCCTGCCAGTCTTGTAGAAGTACTTTGCACTTCGAAGGTGCAAAGCACATAGCGTGCCTACGGACATTGATTGCCAACTGATTAAGTGCGGAGTGCATGCCTTGGGCATTATCGCAGAGTAAAACATTATCATCGGCATACTCAAGGTCGAGAAGTCTTTCTCCAGGCAACAGATCCACACCGCCATTACTTACATCCATCAGAGCTGTTTCCAGAATGTCATCGATGGCAAAGTTGAAGAGGAATGGTGAGATTGGGTAACCTTGTCTAACCCCACCGCTCGAATGGAACAATGGAGAAAGGTGGTTGCATGCCC